TTGTCTTGGTTGCCAGCGAGCCCTTGACCTTCGAAAGGGGTATTTGACCCTCTCCATTCCGTTGGGTCTGCTTACTGACGCGGCATTTCCAGAGAACTGGGTGAATGTGCCGACCAACTCGGTGCTCACCATACACAACCAGACAGTGATGGTGCATCCCATTGTCGACGAATATTTTGACCGGAGTCCCTACCACGTCCGCTCCAGCGCGTTCGTCCAAGCTAGGGGTCTGACCGCCAACGAAAAAGCCTCGGCACACCTGAGCCCTTCTGTCTCTGCCCTGGTGCCGAGCCCCGAAGCACAGAGGAAGGCGATGCTAGGCCCTGCGGTTCCTCTAGGCGTTACTCGGAAGAGCGACCCCGTCAGTGCTTCAGGCAAGACCAGGCCTGCGAGTGGCCTTCACGAAGCATCTACACCGAGCGACGCGCGGTCCATCTTGACGTTGTCCAGCAGCCAAAGTACCACATCACGTCCACAAGTGCAGGGTAATATCAAGGTGAAACGGAAGACGTTGGACGTCTCTGAGCAAGCTCCAACAGAAGTGGACAGTGACCCCGATACAGCAGAACAGCCGGGTCAGGGGATCGGGCATCCCAATAAGCTGTCAAGGTTCTTTCCAGAACTGACGATGAACTAGTGCGTTGGTCTTCGGTGCTTGGGTTTTGGGGGCTTGAAAATGCCAAGTGTCTAGTGGCGGGTTTACTTGCTACAGAGGTGACTTGATCCTGCAGTGAACTGTGATGGTTCGCCTGGATACCTACTTCAGCGTTGTGATACACGTATGTTATCACCTATTTGGTGTGACCGTTCATCCGAATGGCTTCCGCCGGGGTCCTTGCCACCGCGCCCATGGCACACTGTTACTCTTCCTTACTTCATGGTTGACCAGCGTCCCAGGTCCGTGGAAGTGGGGGCTCGAGGCTGTTGGAGGACTCCAGCCTGAGTCCTCACAGCATGTGACAGGTGGCCGAACCTAATGGAATGGACTTAATTTGACTGCGTTGCGCAAAGACCGAGCTTCACCACGCCTGCCTTGTCCTCAGGGATGATTGTCTCCCAGCCAACTTCTACGTCTCCCGGCCAAATTCTACGCGATAGCCTCGCTCCATGATATAAATAGATCTTGCCGAAATCTAAGTCGTATTGACGGTAGTTGACCCGCTCATGAGGGGCTACCGGAGTCGCTATAATAAGGTACGTAATCGTTGTGCTTGCAGCTCGAGCTGAGTGTGACCAGCAGCGGTCCCAATCTGCTGCTGCAGCACGTTGCTCACCATGGTATACTGTTCTCGCGTTCTCTCGCCGTGCAGCCGACGACCATTATCAGATCCTCGGATCTCTATAAGACTGATCCTCTCGCATCCATCATGTTCTGCCAACCCCACGCGATGAAAAGTGCGACTTGTGCTGAGTGGATTTCCAGCCAGCATTGATAGTTGAGGGCAGGCTGGGTGTAAGAACTGCAACCCCAATGACAGTCCTGCGCGAGGCGTCGACGGGCCAATTCACCACAGCTGATTTGTTGATGGAGGCCTGCTCCTCAGGCGCCCGCTGCCGCCTGATGTGCCTCGTATGGAGCGTCAGCCTCTGAGACGATGCTCGGATCAACGTGGTAGAGCTTGGCCGGGTGCTGCTTCAGATCGAGCTGCTCCTTCATGGTGGGCTGGTCGTCCAGCGTGCCGGCGCAAGACTCGTCGACCAGAGTCGCACTACTGGCTCTGCTGCGCGTGGTCACGCTGTCCTCGCCGCGAATGTCGCTGACGATGGTCACGTCCCAGAACTTGACGTCGAGGAGGTAGTCCATCCGCTTGTGCAGGCGCGTCAGGTCGTCGTCGGGCCCGTACTTGAGCGCCCACATGATTCTGCCGTATTCCTCGGCGAACTCGACCACCCACTGTATCTCCTCGACCTGTTCGGTCCGTGACTTCTCCACACGCCGGTCCACCCAGTCCTCCCTGAACCGGTAGCTGTCGAGGAACAGGTTCTTCTGTTGGTCGGGCAGGTCGTCGTCCTGAAGAATGGCCCGCTCGTCGTCCTCGGCCCTCTCGGCGCGCCGGCGCTCGTTCGTGTCCCAGTGCCGCGTGTGACATTCCTCGCAACGCCACTTGTAGTGTATGTGGGCCATGACCTCCTGCTCGGAGGGCGCGCAGATGACGGAGCTGCAGTCGCTGGTGCAGTGTATCTTCCACAGCTGCTTGTGGTCGCAGCCTCCGTAGGAAAGAAATGCCAGGCAGCACGGCATCCTGACCCAGACAGCCGCAAAAGAAGCGCGTGATGGACCTTGGCGAACCGCAGAGTACCGGAGCACGTCTTTGAGAGCCTCGCAGGGAGTGCGGGAGTGGGAAAGAGGGTGGTGCGTCCTAGGCGGGAGTGATTTCTGACATCAAATATACCAAGGGCCGTATTGGATAGAAGGAAAGAGCGATGCAGTGCCTGACATCGATCACACCCATCCTACTGCGATGGGCTGGAAATTGGTACACCATAAAATCCCACTTCACTGCTTTTGTGAAGTACTCGTATTGTGGAAGTTTCAGGACGTCAGGTGCCAGCATTGGGTATTTGTTTGTTGAAGGCGGAGGGACACTTCACGCTGGCGAGGGAAGTGCAGGCATGAAAGCGCTAGAGTGAGTGTTCAATGCTGCATATATACTTTACACCAAGATACGTCAACGCAGGTAAGCTATCGTGGGGAGCATGCTGTGGCGGTGGCTGCGTATTATAGCGCCATGTAACGATGCCAACCTCCTCCCTGGCTTCGAGAGATCATCGTCGTTTTCGTATATGCTCACCGGGTGTTCCCAGTCGGGACTGATAGAAGAACAACACGACAAATGGGTTTGCCGTCTTCCGAGGAAGACGCCCTCTAGAGAAGGACGCCACGGGCGTAAGGACGGATAGACAGCAGCTTTTCATTTGTTGGCGCCATTTGACTTCATCGACGCAGAATGGTGTGGCAACCCAGCACACGCCAACCGCATCACATTCGGCTGTGGCCATCGCCAGAGGCAAAAGAGCGCAGGCCCATCGCATGGATTCAGTCGGATGAAGGCTATGTCCTGGAAGTACAGGCAGGGCGTGCAGAAGGGCCGATGAATCGAACTTTGCTAGTCCGCCGGGTTCAGGACTCAGCAGTTCAGACGGCGACGTTACTTGCAACATCTGGCGCATAGCCAGCAGCATGTGCGCCCGCCCCAGTCGAGGGCAGCGTGATGTCCGCCACATGCTGACATTCATCGTCAGGGAGAAGGTGATTGCTCACAAGAAATAAGTCTAATGTCAACATCATGCCACTTTCTACGGCCGCCGATCAAGGAACATGATCTTCAGGCTATCGCTCGAGGCCTAGAAAGACAACGCTGCGGCCAGCGCTTTCTGCCAACCGCCACGTCGTCAACGACTCGAATGAACAACACAGGGTTGGATCAACGAGGCTACCCGTACACCGACAAAAGCACCCGTCAACCCTATAGACTATACCTCTGAAGGGAATTTCTCGCGATGCGGCGAGTGGGTGAGCAGCGCAGTGGTATATGACTTGAGCTGACTGCATGTCCATTCAACGGTGATGTATGTAGATAGGAGAAGATCGGAGTAGTACTACGGTCCGCCGTCCACAACTTGAAGGCCGGTTTCTCAAGCTCTAAAGTAAGGGTATCCACGCTAGTCCAGCCTCTGGTGTTCCTCGTCGCCCTGCAGCAGGGCAGATCCTTCTGCCGACTTGCTGGCTGGCACACGATAGAGCACATAATGCTGGGTCATGAAGATCAGGTCGTAGATCATGGACACGTTGCCGAGGGCAAACTTGACGGGGTTGCCCGTGATGCCAGACCAGTCGCGCTGCAGGTACGAGTCGATGCCCTGCTGAGAGCAGGACAGGAGGCCGCCGACAAAGTCCAGGAGGATCTGCAGGATGGACCAGCCCTTGGTCGACTTGTTCCTGTAGTTGGTGACGACCTGGGGCGTGTACTTGATGAGAGTGACGACGAGCTTGACGTAGGACACGGCATAGACAACGTCGAGCGCACACCAGGCGTACTGCGGGTCGCCGGGCTGGGCGGAGGCGACGATGAGCGAGACGGACGCGACGCCGACAATGCAGCCAAAGGCGATGCCGAGGATGAAGCGGCTGGGGCGGTTGCCTGGGCTGGGGGTAAAGCCCAAACCTTGGGCCAGTACTGGCTCGTCGTGATGACGGACAGGAGGAAGCCGTGCGCCGCAAAGGTTATGTCGTTGAAGGCGACGGTCGGGTGTAGGCCATGGTTTCGTGCCGCGTACTGCTGACGGACGACGGGCGAATAGAAGAGCGCCGCGTTGGAAACAAAGTAGGCGAGGAAACCTGTCGTTCAGAGGAGTCCGTCAGCCAAGGTTCGTCACGGCGCGTGCCCCGAGGCCGCGCGAACAGTCCTCAAGAACAAGACACACAAGACAGGCGCGAGGTGAGGTGCGTGCATACCCAGGCAGTTGATCAGCGGGAAATCAACCGTCGTTCCAGCAGTGGTTTTCCTGCGATAGTTCAGGATGGACTGCGGATAGAACGATGCCGACCAGCAGAGGAAGTAGACCCAGCCGAACAGCTGGGAGACGACGACGAGGAAGCCGTCTCCAACCATGGCTGCGGCGTTGGACCAAAATGCGGCGTGATGCAGGGACCGGCGCCAAGGAGGGGAGGCAGTGTAAGGGGAGCGGTTCTGGAGCCCAAGTTGTGCTTCTGCGAGCGCCGATCAAAGCGGGGAGCCGATTGGTAGTACGTGTTGCTTTGACGTGTTTGAAGGCTGGAGATGATTACTTAAAGAGGACAGTTTGGAGGTCGAAGCCGCTCCGCTTTCCCCGCCTACCTACCTACCTAGGCAGGCTAGGGACCTAGGTACTTGGTGCCTACCAGGTGCCTACCAGGTGCCTAGATACCTCCTACCCAAGCTTGCCAAGGTTACCTAAGTAAGGACCCTCTCGAGACTCATGATACCACCCCAGGATGGTATCACATGGCCCAAAGCTCCTCACGCCAAGCACCCGTGTGTGTCGTGGCTCTCCATGACACGACGAAGCCACTGAACATAGTCCTCAAACCCCGTCGTGCTGCCGTAGATCCTCACGCGCCCGACGCCCCGGACGCCCTCAAACAACGTGAGCACGCCGTGATCCGCGCCGAGGAAGGCAGCCTGCCACACCTCGAGCGTCAGCTCGTCGACGCCCGCAAACGCCCGCGCCAGAGCCTCCCTGTCGTAGGCCGCGTCGCAGTCGAGCCGCACGCGCATGTGGTACCGCCGTATGCGCGCCGCCGCCGCCGCCTCCCTGACCGGCGGATACCCCACGCGGAGCCGGGGGAACGACGTGAGCATCGTCTGGTGCGCGAGAAAGGTGTTCTCCCCGTACAGCATGCCGACCGCCTCGGCGTGCGTCTGACGGCAGGCCGCCAGGATGGCCGTGTGCAGCAGCCGCGACGAGTGCGCGCCGAGGAGGTTGCGCGTCAGGGGCGGGTGCACGAGGAGGTGCCTGTAGATTTCCAATCGCATCTCGAGCGGGAGCCGGTGGAGAAACGGGCACGGCGACTCTGCTGTGCGACACGACATGCTGCTGTGAGATGTATGCCCGGCTCGGTGGTTGCCCGGCTCGGTGGTTGCAGTGTCTTGGCGCACAGGAGAGATACAACACGAACACTCAAGTCGTCTTCAAGCTGTGTTGTTTTAAGGTTTGGTCCTTCCATCCCAGCCAGGCCGGCTTATCACAGTCGTTCCATCGTCTGAGATGTCGTCGATTAGCACGCAAGACCCCCGCGCGGCATGGGCGCAAGTCAGACACGGGGTGAGGTCATGAGCCGATCTAAGCCTGATCCGTATCGGGGACTGGCAACAACCTCTGACGAACCAGCTTCGCCAGCTCCTGGGTTCTGTCGGCTCCATTGCCGCCAGCGCATGCGAAAACGGGGGAGGCCATGTTGTGTGTTGAACTGGGAAGGGCAACAATGAATAGTTGGTGGTCAGAGTCGTAAGAATCGTTTCTTTAGCCAATTGCCCAATTGCAACACCGGCTAGGCTATCTAATATGTCTCTCCGGGGACAGCATGCACCCAGGACAAGCGCCCCGGTCCCAAGGAGCAGCCCCCTATGTGAAGTCTATCACTTCTTTCGCCGGCATGGCCCGCCTGCCCATGTCGTGGTGCGTTGTTCTATAGGAAACGCAGTCTTGCAAAGGAACGGCTGGCCGCGGCGCAGACTCATGTCTACCCCTCCCGTCAAGTGGAACAACGGCGACAAGAAAGAAATAAACAAGTAAGAAACCCCACGAGAATTCGCATATGCTGCCGTAACGCCTGCAAAGAAACCAAAAACGACGGCGACCCTTTGGGAGGGGGTGGCAGCAGCCATGAATTCCCCGATCAATGCCCGTCGAGTCCCCGTCAACCCATCTTTATCCGCCCAGTCCACCGTCTCCTCGACAGACAACCTGCTCAACTACATGCCATGAATGCTGTACCGCGCGATACTACGCCATGCAAATACGACTGGAAAAGAATGCGCACTGCGAAGCTTCATGGGGGGCAAGCCTTGATACTACCGCTCACGACTTGCCGGCTCCGGACTGCATGACCGCCGGCAGCGTCTTCCACGTCTGCGCGCTCGGCATCTTGATCTTGCCAAAGTCCTCGTCAATGTCGAGGATGATCTTGAGCGCGTTGCGGCTGCGCGAGTAGGGGCTCGTATCGAGCTTCTCCTTCAACGTCGACACGGCATCCGCGACGCCCGTCGGGATCTTGAGCGACTCCGTCTTGCCAGGGTACGGCAGCGTGGTCTGCAGGACTTCGTACGCGGCCAGCGTGAAGCCGAACTGCGGCGAAGAACGGAAGATACGCGCCGGGCCACCCTTGAAGAAGGCCCTGAAGCCCTCCTCCTTCCAGATGGTCGAGGCAGCGTGTCGCAGACCCGTGTAGCTGGCCTCTCCCTTGCGCGCCTCGACCTGGAGACGTGTCTTGATGACGTCGCACGGCGTCGTCAGGTACGCAGCGGGCATGCCGGCGATGGCGCCCGCCGTCAGCAGCTGCAATACACCAAGCTTCTTGGTGGGCGACTCTCCGAACATGTCCTTCTTCAGGTGGCTGTACGTCGGGAAGTAAATGGCTGAGAAGGGCACGTCACGCAACAGACAGGCCGACGCGCCCTTGTATAGACCCACGAGACCGAGGTTGCGCACGATCCACATGGCTGACCTCTTCGGGGTGCCCTCCATCGTCTTGGCGACCTCACCTTGGATCTGGAGCCGAATCTTGACAATCTCGAGGGGGTTGGTGAAAACCTAGTAAAAAAAAAACCACAGCAGTCAGCGTTCTGCGTCGTCATGCACGGACAAAAATGATCAAAATCAAGTACTCACCACCTGACAGGCACCCGCCGTACCACCAGCGAGCACCTCCGACCCCCAGTAGATCTTGCCCTCCTTGTTGGTGAAGTACGTGCGGACAATGTCGTTGACGGTCAGCTTGATGGCCTTTTCTGGCGCCACACCAACGAGCTGCGGCAAGACACCAGAGTACAGGCCGCGCGGGCCCTCGTTACGCCAGACCTTTTGGAAGCAGTCGATCGAGTTCTTGTAGAGGCGCTCGCCGGGCCTGGCGCCTCGCTGGTTCTGCAGGCGCGTCTTGACGAGATCGATGGGATACACCATGAAGGCACCAAAGGCACCGGCGACACTGCCAAGCAGGAAGTTGTAGCTCGATTCCATCAGCTTCGCGACGGCGGCACCCGTGGCGCCTGCGGCCGCATCCGACACGCCGCGGTGCGGCGCGTCCTCCGTGTCGTAGAGCGGGTTCCTCCAGGATGGGTCGAGGACCTTGGCAAAGTCGGCGAGTCCGAGTCTGCCAGAGGGCTCGTCGAGGCTGGCAAAGTGGAAGAGAATGTCGGCCTCCATGGGCGTGAAGAGGGAGAAGCGGGTAATCTTGGCGGCCTGGTTCAGGAACTCGGTCCTCGTGATCTTGCCATCGGTGCTCTTGGCGACCGCGCGGCGGACGATCAGCTCGACGAGGTCCATCTCCTTGATCATGTTCTGGAAGGCGCGGACATTGGCGTAGGAAACCTTGCTGCCGAGGGTAATGTTGCACAGGCTGCTGAGGTTCTGGAGGAGATGGTCGGAGAGCTTGTGCTTGGACGTCTCCAGGATGATGCGCTCAAAGTCCCCCGGGTCGATGAAGCCGTCGCCGTCGCGGTCGAACTGCTGGAAGGCCTGACGGATGCGCTCACCCTGCAGACCGCGCAGCATCTGGGAGAATTGGGGGTAATCCATCTGGTGTCGCTTCTTCTTGCCGCCAATGTACAGCTTGGCCCACTCGCACTCCCAGTCGAAGGGGATGCTCGTCTCGCCCTTGTTCAGCTCGTACAGCTGGCGGAAGTCTTCGTACTTGACGCTGCCGGTCCTGGACACGTCGAAGAGGCGGAAAGCAATCTCGTACTCGGCATCGGGCTTCATCAGCAGGTTCTCGAAAGCAGCCCACTCGGACAGCGAGATGCGGCCGGCATCCTTGCGGTCGGCGACGCGGAAGAGAATGCCGTACTGTTCGCGTTTGATCTTGTGCTGCAGGCCATGAGAGGGCAGGTCAGCACGGTGGTCTTGTCGACGAGGGAAAGGGGGAGGAGGAGGGAGGCCATGGGGTGACTCACGTAGTCTTCTGTGGCAGGCGCGACGGCATTGACAAACTCATCGGGTCCCATGAAGAGCTCGCCCGTCTCGGCATCCTTGATAGCATTGGCGTGGAACCGGGACTTGGTCTGGCTGGACAGCTGCGTCGGCTCCTCCGCGCCGAGGAGGCTCTCCTTGACAGCCTCCTTGACAGCTGCTGCTTTGCTCATCTTGGCGGGTCGTGGCGACAAAGACGCACAATGGTCGAGGTTGATCGAGAAGCCAGGGTGAGGACAGAAATCAGTTCCTGGGTTGAGGCTGGAGCTCTCGTGATGTTCAGGTGAAAGACCGAGAACCGAGGACCGAGAGCTGTCGACAAAGTATAGTAGTCTTGTGCGGGGTCGCGGCGGGACTGATTTCCGGGG